TCAATTAAAAAGAAATAGCCATTTTAAAAAAAAATAAAAAATAAAAAGATTTTTCTGCAACTTACAAAACTGTTAAAACTCACCTTTTGGGGGCTAAATATAATTTTGTACTTTTTATTCACTCTAGATTTCTTGTCTGCATTCACAAGGTCTGTAAAGAAATACATCCACTATTATGTATAGAGGAAAACACTGTGTTACCAGAAGCAGGTATATAGAGTGCAGCTAAACACACATTAGAGCCTGCTCCCACAATGCAAGGATTACCTGCTCATGTCCTTATGTCTAGGATACCTTCGTAAAGTTCTTTTATATCCCTGATCCATGCTTCAGCGCTTACCTCTCTCCCCTCCACTACAGCCTGTAGACTGTCTCTCAGTGTCCTTATGTATTATGCCCTCCTTACCATCTTGTCTTGAATTGTATTGTGATTGTGAAGTCTTCCTTCTATTGTAAAGCGCTGCGCAAACTGTTGGCGCTATATAAATCCTGTAATTACACAGGTCCCTAGTCATAAACAAGCACTTAACCCTTGCAGTGCAGGGATAGCTCCATTGCATGGGTAATTTTTTCCCCCCTGGGGATAGACTTTAATAAAAACACATATCATAAAGTGCACCGTGCCCTCCACCTCAGACCAAAAGTATCAACTATTTTCCATTAACACAGTCACTTGGATACCCTAATATCATAGACACATAACAAACTTGTGCTGTATTAAAAGTCTAGTTGTAGCGACTGGGAGAAACAGAAACAAAAGTCTGCAGCAAGAATAAATTGAGAGCAATCGGGGAAATAAAAGATGCTTCCTGGGTGCTACGGGTTATATCACCTTGCTACAGTCTTTTAGAAAAGCAAGAATATGCACCTAAAACCACCCAGTGAATCGGCCTCAAAGATGAATCAGTTTCTCTAGATTGTATAGTAATTAAGAAAGCAACATTACTTGTTAACTCTGCATTACATTTTAAAATAGTTAACAGTGATGGTATGAGGTATCCGCAAGAAGGAATGAAGTATCACTTACTGGCAATATTCTTCACATGCTTAACACGAGGTCTTATCAAAAAGCACAATCTGGAAACAAAAATACCAAAAAAAGGTTACTGCAGTTTAATAAACAAAGGGTAACCCAATGCTAATGCTATGAAACAGCAAAACTTGATGTCCTGGGCTCCAAGGAAGTTGGTTGAATAAATGCGGGCATCATTGAGCCCAGAAGATTAACAGCAGCAGAAAGCAGTGGATCTACAGGGGACAGCACTAGAACGGAGGTGAGTATTACAGCGAAAGCTACTCGTTTGTTTTTGATAGGGCTGCACCAATACCGATACTGAGTATTTTGGCGAGTACTTGTACCCCGCCCAAATGCTCCGATACCGGAACTTCCGTCAGAGGGAGATTTCCTCTGATCGGCAGTGCCACGAGAGATCATGGAGCCCGCTTCCCGGCCAATCAGGAAGCCAGGCCGTGAGTTATCGGGAAGCAGACTCCATGCAGATTGGCCGGGAAGCTGGCTTCCCAGCCAATCAGCATGGAGTCGGCTTCCCGGCCAATCAGGAAGCCGGGAGGCGGGTCATTACCCACTCCCCGGCTTCCTGATTGGCCGGCTTCATGATGAATGGCTGGGATGCCGGCTTCCGGCCACTCAGCATTGAGCCGGCCAAACAGCATGGAGCCAACTTCCCGGGCAATCAAGAAGCTGGGGGGGTGGGTAATGGCACGCTGCCTGGCTTCCTGACTACTCGGGAAGCCGGCTACTTGCTACTGAAAGTACCGGTATCCGCGAGTACCATAATGTAAATATCGGTTCTCATACTCCATACCGAAAAACGGGTATCGGTGCATCCCTAGTTTTTGACTATTGCTAAGCTATTTATTTTTTATTTAGGCCTGGAGTGGAGCTTTAAAATATATCCAATGATTACTTGCTGATTACATAACTGGAAAAAAGAGGTATATTTGCTTTCAGTTCCATGTTAAAATGAGAGACTCTAACTACAGGAGGAACAATGGAATTTCAATGACTTACTGGTCACAGTTGGTGTAAATGGGTTTGTTGTCAAGCTTATACAATTTGTCGACATCATGTTGCTAAAAA